GTGAGTGTACCGTCAAATCAGATCTGACTGGTACAGGAGGAGATTGTCCCTCCTTCCCCGGCAGAGCATCTGGTGGATTCGAATCGTGCACCTCTGGGATTGTAGTTGCAGCTCCTTGCCACTAGGCCACCCGAGCTCCCCTGTAGAGCAGTATATTGGATTTTTCCAAAGTGATTTTATCAGTTTGCACTCCCACCAGCAATATATGTGAGTTCTAGTTGTTCCACATCCTTGTCAACACTTGATGCTGTCACTCCTTTCAGTTTTAGTCAACTTTCTTATCTTTTCCCCCCTTTTTATTTTTTTATGAATTTTAATTAAAGTTACAGAGACTTTGGATTTCCATTCATTCATTGTTGCATATCTTTTTTTTTTTAGTGTGTGTGTGTGTGTACCGTCAAATCAGATCTGACTGGCACAGGAGGAGAATGCCCCTCCTTCTCCAGCAGAGCATCTGGTGGATTCCAACCACACACCTCTGGGATTGCAGTGCAGCCTTTTGCTCCTATGCCACCAGAGCTCCTTTTAGTCAACTTTCTGTTCACCTTTGAGATATATATATATTTTTTTTTCCGTTGTCTTGAGGGGGCCTCCTCCAGTCTGAAGACACCTTTATAAGTGTAGGATGAGAGGTCCATTAAGGCCCCAAGGAGGGCTCTTTTTAGCTCCATCCAATAAAGTTACAACATCATGAGTGGCATAAAACCACCAAATCAAAGCCTTCCTCGTGGCATACACTAACAAGGAACAGGTCACATGCATCAAGACTGTCATGGGGACCCCAAGCCACCCCAGTGGGACAAGCTGGGACTCAGGGTATTGTGCGGCTGTTCTCTTCTCCCCTGTATTTTCACAGCCTTGATATCTTCTTAGTTCCCACCTGTGTCCTCCACGCAGCAAGATCTGTAGATGCTCCAAGCACTGTACCTTGGAGCTACAATGTAGGTGGAAGGCATTTGGCTTCCATCTATGTAATATTTTATAAATACATACGGATGCCATTGTGAAAATCAACATCCACATTCACTGAAAAGCATTTATGAGTTCATTGTAGTTTTTGTTATGTTTTCTCAGGGAATAAATGTATAGAAAAATACTTATTGACAAGTGGGATGGGTTAGGGTGAAAATGTTCACATTTAAGAGTTCAGAAAACAAAGGGGTTCATCTGGGCTCCAAATCTAAGCCTATCTAGCTGTTTGGTTTCCACTTGAGGTTCAGTGTTTCACGTCTTCGACTCTCAGGAGTCACCTTTCTCTAGAAGATCTACCAAAAGAAGAAAAGAAAAATCTATCAAAAAAACAAAAAGATCTACAAGATGACTTGAGTTTCTGCGCCTTCTCTGACATCCTCCTTGAGGTTTCTGAGAATCTCCCAGGTATACTTTTGAGCTCTTGGGTCCTCTTAGTCCAGATTTCTGTGACCTTCGCTAGTTCCTCACCTGCTCCTCTCTTTATCTCCACGGTGTTTTGCAACCAGTGCAGGCCCAGCCTCTCCTGGTGTGGTGATTAAGTGCAAGGCTAGAAAGCCAGACCACCAGGGTTCGAAGGCAGGCTCTGCTATTTAGGAGTTTGGACAAGGCTGTATTGTTTCCCTGGACTTTAGTTTTCTCCTTATAAATGCGTTAATATATGGACACTAATCTTAAGGTAAAAAATTTATTTAAAGTGTTTGACAGGTAGAAGAATCTGTTCTTAAAATCAGTGTATTCAAATTTTGTAAATAAACTAGTATATTTTTTTAATGCTGGGCATTTTTTTTATCATGCTAGATAGCAACTATGTTTAAAGATTAAGGCGCATCTGATCCAAGCCATGGTATTCTCAATTGTTTCTTATGCATCTGAAAGTTGGACAAGAAATGTTGTTGTTATGTGCCGTCGAGTCGCTTGCAACTCATAGTGACCCTATGTACAACAGCTCTAAACTCCACTCTGTTCTGTGCCAATCGCACTGTCTCCCACAAACTCATCCCGATTGCCCCAGTCACCAAATCAATCCATCTCCCAGAGGGCCTTCCCCTCCTGCGCCTGCCCTCCACCCTTCCAAGCATGATGTCTTTCTTCAAGGACCGGTCTCTCCTTACAACATGACCAAAGTATGTCAGACGAAGCCTCAGAATCCTCCGACAAGAAGTGAGGAAGACCAAAAAAGAACTGATGCCTTTGAATTGTGATGTTGGCAGAGTACTGAATGCGCCGTGGGCCCCCAAAAGAATAAACAAATCCGTCTTGGAGGAAGTGCTTTAGCGGCGAGGGTGGTGAAATTTTATCCCTCATACTTTGGGCAGGTTGTTAGGAGGGCACAGTCCTTGGGAAAAGATGTCATGCTACGAAAGGTGGACAGTCAGCAAAAGACAGCAAGACCCTCAATAGGGTGGATTGACACATATCTAACAATGGGCTTTGGGCTTGAACATGACAGAGACCATTCAATGGTGCAGGATAGGACAAGGTTCAGATCTGTTGTTCCCAGGGTCACTGAATCAGAGTTGACTTGACAGTACCTATCAACAACAATCCTCAAGATTGGCTGAAGAGAACAGAAAGACGTATGGGTAAAATATGTATCTGGCAGTTAGGGAACGTAAGCTGTTCTTTTTCTTTATCTCTCCACTAAAGAAGAGTACTGGGTACCTCATGAACTACCAAAAGCACAAACAGATATGTCTTGAGGAAAGTACAGCCAGAGTTCTTCTTGGAGGCAAAGATGACCAGCGTCATCTCACCTACTTTGGGCATGTAGCTAGGACAGGCTGGCTGTTCCTTGGAGACGGATGTCGTATTTGCGAATGTGGAGGGTTGGTGAAGGAGAGGAAGACCTCCAGTGAGAAGGGTTGACGGATTTACTGCAGCAAAGGGCTCGAGTGTATCAGAGGCGATGAGAATGGCACAGGATAGGACAGGGCTCAGATTTGTTGTTCATAGGATCGCGATAAGTTGTATTCCACACCACCTAACAACAACAAAAAACCAACAAACACAATTGAGGACTGTGACAGTTCAGTGGGAGAATCCTTACCTTCCATGTAGGAGACCAGGTTTGATTCCCAGTCAATGCACCACACACAGAGCCACCACCTGTCTGTCAGTTGAGGCTGGCAAGCTGCTTGTTGTTTCATGAGGAGGTTTCAGCGGAGGTACTGGACCAAGACAGATGAGGCAGAAAGGCCTGGTGATCTCCCTGTGAAAATGAGACATGCAAAGACCTGAGGGTCAGAAAGGTCCAGGCTTCTTGTGCACAAAGCAAAGGGCCAACCTCACAACAGCTCACAATGACAACAGGCACTATTCTGTGTAATATGCTTTTGTAGAAGGCTTGGTTGTAAGCGGAAGGAGAGTATACCATCTGGGCAACTTAAAATCAAGCCATAGACCTCAATGTGGAGGACGTCTTTTTTAATTTTTTTCACGATTTTATTCATTGTTGCATATTTTCTTCCCCCCTCCCACCCTGCAATGCACTCCTTGTTCTAGATTGTTCACACTTATAATGTCTAATCATATATTCCTTTTGGACAGTTCTTCCCTTCATCTGATCTAACGCAGTGTTCATTATCTATCCGCTCTTGCCCCAGCCTCTCCCTATCCCCTCCATCTGTCCTATTTTATAACAGCAGTGTTATGTAGAGTTTGCCCTTTTGTGACTGAGCTATTTCACTAACAACCTCCAGGCTCCCCCATGTTGTGTAATGTTTTACAAGTTCATTGTTTTTCAATGCTGCATAATATTCCATTGTGTGAATGTACCATAGTTTTTCTACCCATTTGTTTGTTGATAGGTATATGGGTTACATCCATCTCTTTGCTATTGTGATTAACACAGCAACAAACATGGGTGTATATATATTTGTTTGAGTTGTGATTCTGGTTTCTTTATTCTTATTCTTCTTCTTATTATTAATTTCCAATACTGGAATTGCTGGGTCAAATGATATTTCTATTTCCAATTTCTTGAGAAAGCACCAGACTGCCTTCCATGGTAGCTATCCCATTTTACATTCTCCTGGCATTGAATAAGAGTTCCGATCTCTCCATAACCTCATCAGTATTTGCTGCCGTGTTGGACTTTGCTAGTTGTTTTAAAGTTGAGCATCTCCCAGCCATCTCTATCACAGTAATAACATCATCTGTCCTCTGAACTTAGAGCAAAGTTATTTCTTGGAATGAGCTCACAAACCCCTTTTTGAACCTTCCTCTGAGCCTTCCTCCAATTTCACAGCTTTTCATTTCCTCTCAGACACTAGGAGAAGATGCAAGATTGATTTTGCAGGGCATCCAGATTTTGTTCACAATTGCTCTTGTTAAAAAAAGAGGATCCAAGACAATGATGCTAAATGAGGTCGAATGGTCCCTCGGAGAAGAGCCTGGGAGAAGGGAGAAGCATAAAGTGTTTAACTCTGTCCCAGTGGTCGTGTGTGTATATGTGTGTGTGTGTTTGTGTATGGAGCCTGTTTATATATAAACACAAAGTATTTCTGGCATGTATTGGATACACTCGGATTTCCTCCCCTCCCCAGGAATTAACTATTGTGTAGATGAGAGAAGATTGTCCTTTGTTTTGTCGGAATTTTGCCAAGACTGGC